CAATATTAACAAAGCTTTTTCAATAAAAATTTTAGTAACGTAATGTTAGGTAATGCCACGTCAGATAATTGAACTGATTAAACATAAAGTAGAAAAGATTTCTACATTTGAAAACCTGGAAAATTAGCCTTAAACATTTCCAATATTACTATAAAAACTTTTCCACAAATAGTCTTGCCAAATTCGCAAAGTTTTGCAATTTTGTAACCCAAGTCAAAATCCACTTCTGCTTTTTTTTAACGTCACGCCAGAGCGTATGTTTACTAATGTCTTTAAATCGCTACTACCAACAGTTGTAATTTTTTTACTGAATAAGGGGACATTTAATTGCTGTGCAAATTTTAATCCTTTTTACAGCTTTTACTTTTTACATTTTTTTTTTTCATATTTTGTCATACGAGAGTAACGTAACGCTATATTTTACATAGTACACATACGCTCACACCATTATATCTGCGTACACCCTTGATTTTTTTTTAATGTTCACAATAAGATTGCTCACACGTGCCTGGTCATCAGGGTATCTGGTTAAAAATTATTATTGTGTAGTGTATTTTATTGTTGTAAACTGAATAAAAAATATAACGACAAAACCTGATAACCAGGCAAGCGTGAATAACCTCAATGTTTTACATGCTGGTTCATGCTACAAAGAAAACCATATAAATCAAAATTTTTCTTACTGTATATAAAATTAAAAAAATATTTTACGAATTTTCATCAAAATTTTAAACTTTTTACTTAGATAAAAAAAACTTGCATGCAGTTTTATAGCCTATTCAATTTTAGTATAAGAATGTACAAATTTTATGTGTGGAGAAAAATGCCTAGAGCCGTCAGCAAAAAAAAACACTAAAAATCAACGGAATTTCTTAGCTACTGTAAATTTGTACACTGGTATACTAAAACTAAATGGCCTATAAAACTGCATAGCTACTTCAAATTTTTACATCGTACTAAAATTGAATAGGCCAATTCCTGTTCTGTGAAAAGGTGAAGTGAAAACATTTTTCCTCACTTTACTTAAAATTAAGATTGTGTTTCGAGAATCGCTTAAAAAGCTATATTGAAATGATAAATTGAACAAACTAAATTTTCTACGAAATTGAAGTTTACATTTTCACTTAACAGGTTCATAAAAACAGAATTGGCCCCCAGAATTTTTTCTTTTTAATAAGAGTGAAAAGTTTAAACGGTGGCGAGGAGTTGATAAGGTAGGTGCATGCATCAACTCTTATGCAGAATATGGTCAGATGAACGCTTGCCCGACGACTGGAATTTAAGTGTGCTCTTCCCAATCCACAAGTAAGGCGATCCCGCCATTCGCGCCAACTACCGCGGAATCAGCCTTCTAAGCATAGGTTATAAGGTCTTATCGAGTGTATTGTACGATAGACTGAAGCCCACTGTCAACGAACTGATTGGACCTTATCAGTGTGGCTTTAGGCCTGGCAAATCCAGCATAGATCAGGTATTCACAATACGCCAAATCTTGGAAAAGACCAGCGAGAATAGGATCGACACACACCATCTATTTGTCGATTTCAAAGCCGCTTTCGACAACACGAAGACAACTTGTCTTTATGCCGCGATGTCTGAATTTGGTATCTCCTCGAAACTAATACGACTGTGTAAAATGACGTTGAGCAATACCACCAGCTCCGTCAGAATAGGGAAGGACCTCTCCGAGCCATTTGATACCAAACCAGGTTTCAGACAAGGTGACTTCCTCTCGTGTGATTTCTTTAATCTGATGTTGGAGAAGATAATAAGAGCCGAAGAACTGAACCGCCCAGGCACAATACTTTACAAGAGCGTATAATTGATGGCCTATGCCGACGACATCGATATTATCGGTAAAAACCTACCGGCTACGGGCTACGTCTGCTCTGCCTTCTCGGCTCTGCTGGTGAACGAGGACAAAACGAAATATATTCTGTCATCACACAAACAGTAAGAGCATACGCGTTTTGGCACCCACGTCACTGTTCACAGTTACAAGTTTGTAAAAGTAGACGCCTTCGTTTATTTGGGAACCAGCATTAATACTAATAATAATGTCAGCCTTGATATCCAACGGATAATCACTCTTACCAACAAGTGCTACTTTGGACTGAGTAGGCAATTGAGAANTAAAAGTAGACGCCTTCGTTTATTTGGGAACCAGCATTAATACTAATAATAATGTCAGCCTTGATATCCAACGGAGAATCACTCTTACCAACAAGTGTTACTTTGGACTGAGTAGGCAATTGAGAAGTAAAGTCATCTCTCGTCGTACAAAGATCACACTCTATAAGCCACTTATTATGCCTGTGCAGGTGTATGGCGCGGAGGCATGGACATGAAAACATCTGATGAAGCGGCTCTTGGAGTTTTCGAGAGAAATATTCTGCGAAAGATTTACGGACCTTTACGCGGTGGCGATGGTGAATACCGCAGACGATTTAACGATGAGCTGTATGAGCTTTACAACGATATAGACATAGTGCAATGAATTAAAATTCAGCAGCTCCCCTGGCTTGGTCATATCGTTCGAATGGACAGAAACGCTCCTGCTCTGAAAGTATTCAACGCGGGCCGCGATGCTGGTAACAGAGGAAGAGGAAGGCNCCACTTATTATGCCTGTGCAGGTTTATGGCGCGGAGGCATGGACATGAAAACATCTGATGAAGCGGCTCTTGGAGTTTTCGAGAGAAATATTCTGCGAAAGATTTACGGACCTTTACGCGGTGGCGATGGTGAATACCGCAGACGATTTAACGATGAGCTGTATGAGCTTTACAACGATATAGACATAGTGCAATGAATTAAAATTCAGCAGCTCCCCTGGCTTGGTCATATCGTTCGAATGGACAGAAACGCTCCTGCTCTGAAAGTGTTCAACGCGGGCCGCGATGCTGGTAACAGAGGAAGAGGAAGGCCTCCTCTGCGTTGGAAAGACCAGGTGGAGAAGGACTTGGCTTCACTTGGCATTTCCAATTGGCGTCAGTTAGCACAAAAGAGAAATGACTGGCGTGTTGTTTTGGACTCGGCCAAAATCGCTTAGGCGGTTACAGCGCCAATAAAGAAGAAGAACAAGAAAAGTTTAAAGTGTTGATGAAAATTCGTTAAATTTTCTTTAATTTTGTATACAGTTTAAAACTTTGATTCATATATTCATATTTTGGTAAAAAAATATAAAAAAAAATTACAGAATGTACGCAGATACAATGGAGCGAGTTTATGTTTGTTTATTAGTCAGACCAAAATAAAAAATAAGACATGCATACCGTCGAATTCAGCTAAAGTATTATAATGCAGGAATCATTGCGTATACTCCAATATTAGTTACAAAGTATTACATATCAGGTCGATTCATGNGTGGCGATGGTGAATACCGCAGACGATTTAACGATGAGCTGTATGAGCTTTACAACGATATAGACATAGTGCAGCGAATTAAAATTCAGCGGCTCCGCTGGCTTGGCCATGTCGTTCGGATGGACAGAAACGCTCCTGCTCTGAAAATATTCAACGCGGGCCGCGATGCTGGTAACAGAGGAAGAGGAAGGCCTCCTCTGCGTTGGAAAGACCAGGTGGAGAAGGACTTGGCTTCACTTGGCATTTCCAATTGGCGTCAGTTAGCACAAAAGAGAAATGACTGGCGTGTTGTTTTGGACTCGGCCAAAATCGCTTAGGCGGTTACAGCGCCAATAAAGAAGAAGAACAAGAAAAGTTTAAAGTGTTGATGAAAATTCGTTAAATTTTCTTTAATTTTGTATACAGTTTAAAACTATGATTCATATAGTTTTGTTTGTAGCATGAACCATATTTTGGTACAAAAATATAAAAAAAAATTACAGAATGTACGCAGATACAATGGAGCGAGTTTATGTTTGTTTATTAGTCAGACCAAAATAAAAAATAAGNTGAATTAAAATTCAGCAGCTCCCCTGGCTTGGTCATATCGTTCGAATGGACAGAAACGCTCCTGCTCTGAAAGTATTCAACGCGGGCCGCGATGCTGGTAACAGAGGAAGAGGAAGGCCTCCTCTGCGTTGGAAAGACCAGGTGGAGAAGGACTTGGCTTCACTTGGCATTTTCAATTGGCGTCAGTTAGCACANTGGCGTCAGTTAGCACAAAAGAGAAATGACTGGCGTGTTGTTTTGGACTCGGCCAAAATCGCTTAGGCGGTTACAGCGCCAATAAAGAAGAAGAACAAGAAAAGTTTAAAGTGTTGATGAAAATTCGTTAAACTTTCTTTAATTTTGTATACAGTTTAAAACTTTGATTCATATATTCATATTTTGGTAAAAAAATATAAAAAAAAATTACAGAATGTACGCAGATACAATGGAGCGAGTTTATGTTTGTTTATTAGTCAGACCAAAATAAAAAATAAGACATGCATACCGTCGAATTCAGCTAAAGTATTATAATGCAGGAATCATTGCGTATACTCCAATATTAGTTACAAAGTATTACATATCAGGTCGATTCATGTTTTTGTAGAGCTGGGTCCACTTCATACATAGTACATACCTCTCATTTACTGCAAGATTCGCAAAGCTCAAAAATGGAAATTTTCGGGAGTCGCATTTATTTTTTTCAATTTACTTATAAAGTACAGATAATGGAGATAATTTTTTTCTTCTCACGCAGAAACTACACACAATGAAACATGATATAACGAGTAATTCTCCACAATCTTCCAAATTTTCCATTTTCGAGTTGGTACAGTCTTTTAGCGAATAAGTGACAAGCTATGGATACATAGCTCATAATCTTTAGTTATAGTAGTATACGTAACATTTCCCTCAGACAAAAAATATATTGTATTTTCTCCTTTTTTCATGTACCTATGCACAACGATCTCTTGCACATGTATACATCCATACATATGTATAAATGAATCAATGCGTAAACTCGCATTCCTCTTTCCCCTCACGCGCAACATGAATTACATACAATAAAAAACTTACATAACCACATTCGCATAAACCGATTATGAAGACCCCCTGTATGTATCCAAACATCTAGTTTACCAAGTGTTTCCAGTGAACCGATACCCAACATCGATCAGCTTTACTCTCCGAAATTTCCGCTGGAAATAGTAAGGGAATTCGTAATGGAGGCATTAAAGGAAGCGGTTGAAGTAAATCAGGTGCACAATCGAGATCCTATTGGGTGGACTAACGAAAACTTATTTCTGTAAGTACTTGGAATCCGAGAATTTTAAGCTAAAAGTATTAAAATATTTATCTGTTCTTTACAGTCCTCTTATTAAGCTTACAGATCGTTTACTATTAGTTGGTGTACTAACAGATGAAGATGTACAGAAATTACTGATAATGATTGATCCGGAAACATGGGATAATACGTTCGAAAAAGGTTTGAACTACGTAGTAATTAACAATATTATTAGTAGGATATTTATTCCATTAAAGAAGTGGTAAGGTCGGTGACCTGCATCACTGGAATTTGTGTCAGTTGACATAAATTCACTTTTGTACCGAAATTGATG